TTTCCCTATTTTAACACAACCAAGAGAAAATTCTTCAACATATTTCAGTGTTGACAATTTAACAAGGACGCCTCTTGGCAGAAACAAAAAAAGGAGATACTCTTAGACAAATTTTAACTGGCTTTATAATTTTCTTGTCTTTGTACTTCTTCACTCACTTTGCTATTTAATCTTTGATTGCAGGCCACTAAAGAAGTAATAGAGCGAGAAGCTCCAGGGATGGCCCTGGCAATGCTGATGGGATCACTTAATGTTACTCCTCTGGGCATGCTCTCTAGGTGAGACTATTTCCTTTAAAACATGAGATGACCTATTTCCTTAGAAATACACATTGTCATGAAATGACTGTACACAAATAACTGAAGATTGCCATTGTTATCAAGTCTTAACTTCAGAGAAGTGGCCAAATTCCAAGAATGAAAGTTGCATTCTCTCATTTAATTCCCTTTGTTGTCTCCATTAGACACTGTATCCTCCTGTATTTTCTGTGCCAGCTTATTTGTAATATTGAGGCATGCTGTTAAACAGCTGCCTTTCCATCCTAGAGCTGTGGCATTTCAGTGGTGAGTGAAGAATTCTTCTGTATGTTGTTCATCAAGTACTAAAATGCTTTGTTTAGCGAAAAAACCCTTGACAAATACAAATGTATTGTTTTGATACTGCTTTTATTCTAGTATCAGCAAAAGCTCTCTGAGTAAGTTAAGTGGTATTTTATCCCATGATTTCAGATATAGTACTTCACCTCCTAGAGTTTGGTATTTCCCACTGAATAATTAGTAACTGTTTCTCTGCCTGTTGGTGTTTCTTTTTTATCAGTGACATCTCTTGTTAGCTTGTATTTCTTTCCGAGGTTGATTCTTACTTTATTCCTTCAATTTACTTCATTTTAGCTTTGATAGACTTAGTAATATAAATACCTTTCATAAGTTAGTTTGTGCTTGTACATTATTTCAGGGTAACTAAGAAACAGGAGCTGTTACAGGTTTTTGATGTCTCATTGTGTAATGAAGGTAGAACAAGAAAATAATTATATAAGAAATAAAGAAGGAACTTTCAAATCTGCAATTTTTTATTCAGATACTTGCATTTTTAAAAGGAGTTTAGAGGAGAGGTTTAGTGATTCGACAAGGTGCCTTAACACTTGTCATATCACTTATCACATATCTGCAAGGGCATCATTACCAAGTTAACACCATCATATTCTGTCCAAATTAGCAAGTATTTTCATCCTTTATCTGATACAATTTTTTATATCATAGTTTGTGTTTGCCTGAAGGGAAAGGATAATAGAATACTACAACAAGAAGAGGAAAGGTTAACTTAGGTGTTCTTTTTCTGATCAAGAAAAGGATAGCCATTTAGATGCCACTACCAAGTTTGATTTAGGATATGGTGTGATCAGGGTGGCTGAAAGGATGTTGTAATGATAGTGGAACCAAAATGCTGGATTGCAACCTGACTCTTCTGAACATATAGCAAGTAAATGTCCCTTAAACTACAGCCACTTTCAGTAGTAATTGATGACAGTGATGGGAGAGAACATTACAAAGGTACTGCATGCAAGCATATTAAGCCTTTAAAAAATTTCCCAGTGAAAAACTTTACTTCAGGCCTAAAAGTAATTAGCATGCAGAAGTCCATCATTTTTATAACAGTGTTCAGACCATATAGATAAATACACAAAAATTACAGAATTACAGCATTATGGTTTCTTGCACAATCT